CCAGACATATTTCCTACTAAACTGAACAAGCTGTAAAATCAACAGTGTATATGTGTGTGTGTGTGTGTGTGTGTGTGTGTGTGTGTTATGGTGGTGATGGGTTGGAGATGAAAGATTCAAAATGTTATTCCTGGACAGTGTGTCATCTCTGGGAATGGACTATTTGACTTAAAAGAGAAGACACATGCACCAACAGGGATGCAAAGACATAAAAATATACACTAGATTCACACTCACACACACACACACACAACACACAGAGGAAATATAAAAGGAGAGAGGTATATGCAACTCTGTCTGCCTGGCAGGCCAGGACAAACACAAACATAAGCAGTTAGCTGGATGAGCCTTACCTGCATCCATCAGCATTAGTGAACTATTTCACAAGACCATGAAACTCATTTTTCATCCTGTGTTTACATGAATAAGTTACAGTAATAGAGGACTGTCGGGACATGGGTGTTAAAGGGCCTACAATGTGTCTAAACTGATGAAAATGACAATCTGCTGTGTGTATTCAACATCACAATGCTAGAAGGTTCCATCAAAATATATTCACTACTCCACGATTCCCTTTATACCTCAAAGTAGGGCTGCAACTATTTTTAATTTATTAATCATTTTATCTACAAAATAATTTTAAATTTAGTCCAACAAGACATCTCCATACTTATTTTTACCAAAGATATTTACTTTATAATAATGTAAGACAGAAAATCAGCAAATGTGAAAATTTGAAACACTTGAATTAATGAATGTTTGGCATTTCTAGCTTTTAATGTGGACGTTTTATCTATAACCGAAACAATCAAACTTCACAAGAATTACTGCTGTTAAATACTGATTTACCTCCATTTTCAAGCATGATATGCTAAATTTACAGGTTCCAGCTTCTGAAATGTCATTTTTTTGCTGGGTTTCTTAGTCTTATATCATAGTAAATTGGATCTCTTTGGATTAAGACTGGTGGATGGAGAAAATCTTTCTAAAGCTTTTTTTTTTTTTACCTTATTACCCTATTTTGTGGGCCAAATTAATCAATTTATCAAGAACATAATTGGCGTATTAATCAGTAATGGTCCAGTGTGTAGGATTCAGTGGCATATATTAGTGTAGTTGCAGGTTACAGCCAACTGAATACCACTCACATTTCAAGCATGTAGGAGAAACTATGGCTCCTGAACAACATGAAAGGCCCGATCAACAGCCAGTGTCTGGTTTGTCCGTTGTCCATGGAAGAGGACCCTAAAACTGCTCATTCTTAGGTAACAAAAACACGATTCCTATTTTCATTCTTATATATACTAATGAAAACATACCTATAAATATTATATTCCATTTCTGCCAGTAGACCATCCTAAATGATACACACTGGACCTTTAACTGCAGCACTAGATTAATCGATTAACAAAATTGTTGTTGAGTAATGTCATTCTCAGCACAAATCCAATGTCTTTCTCCTATTCAGCAGCCATTCAGTTGAGTGACATTCACAAATCAGCGCAACATATTTACCATAATCCCAGAAGCTCAGCTATTTTCTGTTGTCCCTTTGCTCCTCGTCCATCTCCGTTCCAGTAGCAAAATAGAAATCTAATATAAAGACATGGCATATTTGCTTTTTTACTGAAAAAGGAAATGTTCCTGTAAGTCCTCTTTCACTGCCAACAGCCAAACCACCTCAGGGAGCTCAATTTAGAGAATATTCATCACAATAGTGCTGCCAAACCCATAGAGTAAATGGAAACAAGTCTAAAACAAATACATTCCTCCATCTCAGCCCCACTGCATACCATTAGGCATTTCTTTTACAAAGCCACATTCAAATAACACCACTGAATATGTTTACTATCAACATGGTTAGGTGAGATATTTTATCTGTCAAATCTGGACCTTCCACTGTTTGTCTTCATTTTTAGACAAATCTATTAATTCGATCCAATGAGTTGTTGTTTTCCCCAGCCACTTGCCCTCGTGCTCCCTGTTTTCCAAACCCAACACAGGTCTATTTGTTGTATCTTTTTAAAACAAACCAAAAATCAACACCCTAATGGCATCTGAACCAGAGAATCAAAGGACTGGAGGATCTCCAAGCCATGTGTCAGCTTTGTTTCACAACAAACATTATCACTTTCAATCAGTTAAATCAATAAACTTTATCCACTAATATCAATAAACTCCATTACTTGACTGTATCCAAGCTGTGTGAGGTTTTCTTTCACTTTTTTCCCCGTCAGTGTGTGTGTGTGTGTGTGCGTGCATACAGTCACAGGGTTTGGAAAGACTGCGAGGATTTCGTGTTAGACCACAACCATAAATATTGAAACAAGTTCCCTTTCTTCAAATCTCAGAATACTGAGTAAATATTGACACGATGGAATCGGGGTGGACTGAAGCATCCCATACCTGTACTTTAGACACTCTCACATATTATGCACATACATGCACACATACACACTTGCAGACAGACAGACAGCTGTGCTCTGAGCACTCTCTGTTCACAGGAAAAATCCTGGAAAAATTAATTACAAAGTTAAACCTACATGAAACCCTCCTCAGTCACACATGCAAGCTCCCTGACAGATGAATGTGAAGAAATGTGCAGCTACGTGCGGTGACTCGTGGACTACGCCAAGACACAGACACACAACATGAGAGTGTTCATCAACACACAAATAAAACTAAAATCCAGAGTAAAAACTTTGCTACACTAAGTTTGAATAGAGCTCTCACACTTGGGGTTTCATTCCTGAAATGAATGTGTTGTGTTTCTTTCTGAGAGTTTGAGAAATTTCTGCACAGCAAAAGAAGTGTGTGTGTGTGTGTGTGTGTGTTTATGCTGCACTTCTCCTGCCAACAGTAACAGCTCAGTAGCCAGTGAGCAGGAAGAGAGAGGTTCATTAAAAACCCAAATACAGCAGTTACATAACCAACAGTTCTGTTCATCCCAGAACCCCCTGTGCTACGAACACACTCCTCCCTCATCCCCATCTTCTTCTCCCTCCCACGCCTGCTGGCAGAGCCCACCCATCATCCTCTTCTCCTCCCATAGCAACAGCTCATCTCAGCTCTCCTCCCTTGTTCCCAGACCAACACACTGCCTCACTCCTCCTCCGTCTCCCCCCCTCCTTTAGCTGCTCCCCTGGTCCCTGCCACCTCCTCCTTTCTCTCATCAAACGGTTCCTTCTCTTACTCCCACATTATCATCCAAGCTTCTCTTCAAACTTTGCTTTATATACAGCAGGACTACAAACCAGGAATATTAACTAGAGTTAAAACAAGAAACTTTTTGTTTTACTTTCACGACTTAGGGCAAAAAAATGACACGCTGGTCCCAAATGTCTTTTCTAGTCTCAGGAAAATGCCTTCAGCTCTTTCAGGGGCGGAGTTTCATATAGGGATTTGGTTTTCACAAGCCCTCACAACTGACTTGCATACTAAGAACAAACAGAGCAGAAAGTGCAGTAAGTGTGTGAACGCAGCAGATGGCAACACAGATTAAGGATTTGGGCTGCATCAGTGATTGTCTGGGATACCTCCAGCCTAGAAACGACTGTCCTTCTATCGGATTAAGGATCATCACATCTCCCCGATGGAGGGACGTCTGAGAAACAACATGCTTTTAAATAAATAAACCCCAGCATGCAGTTGTCACACATGAAGAAACGGCGCCCCCTTGTGGCTCAAACACAGATCTGAAATCAGCATCTCATTTGAAGTACCCAACCCCTTACCAGGCCCTAGAACATTTACTGCTAGGCTTCAAGGAATCGACTATATGATTAAGTAAACAAAGCTGAATATTAATTATATATTGGAGGTCATTATAGCATATACGATATACTTAATATAACATCTATCTATTTTTTATAAGGAATTATCCTGAACCTGGTGCAGTCTGTCAGTGCTGCATTTCTCATCACTCACCATCTTGCCCAACAATAATATATAGATTTTTAACTAAAGCGGAGCACCATTTTACAGTATTCAGCATTACACAGGTGTGAGTCGACAACCTGAGTGTTCCTGAGAGGTCTACATTTATAGACCTTGTTATAATTTATAAAGTAATCACATTGAACAGTTGTACGCAAATATAAGGACATTTTTATGTGCCATTAACGTACAATATTACAACAATTACAACTTCTCCTGTATAATTACAACTGCCTTTTACTGTATTTTCACTCATGATCTGTTTATACACCTACACTTGTGTTTATTAATGTACTTGTCAACAACTATTAGTTGGTTAGTAGTTATTAATCAACACTCATATCTGCTTAAAACTACATAATTAAACCATTAAACTGTTAAAGAGGAACTTAAAAAGTGTTGCCAATTACTGTTTATGCTTGCCCACCCTCTTTTGTGCACCTGTCTTTCCCTCCTTTTCTAACTTGTAATCAAGGCTGTGTGTGTTTGTAGATGATCACGCCTG